CCCCCCCCATTCAGCCTTTGACAAGGAGCTCCAGGTTACCACGGAGATGTGAAAGCAAAGTGGCTGGGAAGGGTGCAGAGACAAAACGCCTGGTGGGAGGGAAGAGACAGGGCCAGCTGCCACTCCAACACACAGGGACCGAGAGAGAACACCTGACTCCCACGCCCCTGCCGAAGGCTGCCTGGGTCATCCCTAGGGCAATTCTTGCCTCAGAGGGCAGGGCCCACCAGCTTCCAGACACCTGCTTGCCCAGGCCTCCCTCAGCCTCCTGTGAACCAGAGCTTGGCTGCTGGCACGTGCTTGTCCCAGGACCCCCTGGATGAGGAAACTGCAAGGAGGATACTCCGATCCCTTCCATTTTACGGTGGGTGTGCGACCTTCACAAAGCAGCCGGCTGCCACGCCCCCTCTCCCACCAGCATTCCTGGTCCATCTTCTGCGCTAGGTGCCAAGACCTCAGCTCCAGGGTCTCGGGTGGCTAGAAACACACCCCCTCGGAGCAATCCGTTCCTCCCAGCTCTCCCGCTGCCGTTCGGAGAGGAGAAAACGTCTGGAAGGCAGCATGTGCACTCTGCGCACACAATACCCTGCTCGCTCAACCTCCCCTTCTCTCCCAGGAAACAAAGAAACTCCCAACTTCTCACTCCAGCCGGGGCTGGCGCCCTCCCTGTCCAGGGCACTGCTGTCCAGACCATCCGTATTCTCTGACTGGCCCCTGCTGAGCCCTCTCCAGACCCAGGTTGCCGTGCCTGCAGGTAGTCTTGTCACTTTCTGTCCTTAACAGCCTCTCCAGGAAGTTGCCCACAGCCTCTCAAGCAAAGCCACCAATTCCACACAGATCCTCAGGGGGTATCTGAACCTTTCTAGCCTTGTCCCTCCATTTCTAAGCCATCCCTGGTCTGAGTGGCCCCCAGACTTCAATTTCAGGCTGGAATCTGACCGGAACGGGGTAAATGCAGATCCAGCCACTTGCACCCCTCCCGTCCCCGCTACCCCCCAAACCCTGATGGCCACATTGAAGCCCACTCCAGCCAGCCCCGGGAGGTGGGAAGATACACCACCTCCCATGAGAGGGAGCCTGGGTTACCATAGGTGCAGTTACAGCAGAAGCGAATGATGAGGAGAATTTCCATGGCAGCCTCTGTCTCCGCAGCAGGAGCCTGTGGCCATCGCTTCCCCGCTCCCATCAGCAGCCCAGCCACTCAGCCACCTTGCACGCTGCTGCTGCACAGCCTCCAGAATCAGGCAGCCGCTTCGGAGTGCTCCTCTCGCAAGGGGGA